GTAGTAGTAGTAGTAGTAGTAGTAGTAGTAGTAAGTTGTAAGTAGTAAGTAGTAGTAGTAGTAGTAGTAGTAGTAGTAGTAGTAGTAGTAGTAGTAGTAGTAGTAGTAGTAGTAGTAGTAGTAAGTGTAGCAGCAGCAGTAGTGGTAATGCTCATAACAGTGCAAATAGTAATAATCATACTAATCGTACTAATAATACTGTTCATACTCCTGATACGAATGTTACATATAAGGATACTTACAATCTCTCGCAGTCGGCGCTCGACCCCCATGGCGGCTGGCGCGCTCCGCACGCCAGGGGAGGAGACCTGGCGAGGGTCTAAGGAACCCACGCGGACCTTCGAAGGTGGCGAGTTGTTGGCCCCTTCGAGAAGAGGAACTGAGGAAGGGGCCCGTTGGCACCGCGCTGGTCGCCCTCTGCCTCGCCGGGTGCCCCGACTGGAGGACGAACTGCGAGCCGCCATTCGACTCTAGAACCTTGAACCTCGATCCTCCTCAATCCTCCTCCTCCTCCTCCTGTTCCTCTCCCTCTTCCCAAGATGGGGCTGATATGAAGCAAACGGGTGCTAAAGGAAACGGGGTCTGGACTCCGGGGCTTTTCCCTGGCAGTGCTCGTTCCCTTCGGACCTTTTGACTTCATGGCAACTGAGATCCGCGCGGATTTCTTGGGTCGGTGCTGGACTCCATTGGGTCGCGCGACAGGGGAGGGGGTCCAGCACCGATCGAAGAAACCCGCCTTGACCTCCGAAAGTCTGTGGCTATGCATGTGCTTCATCTTCTAGGGAGGAGGAAGCGGTCCAAGGTCCGAGGAGGTGGAGGAGGAGCACGAGGAGGATAAGAGGAAGGGGGAGGGGGAGGGAGGGGGAGGGAGAAGGAGGAGGAGGAGGAGGAGGAAAAGGAGGTGGAGGTGGAGGAATGAAGACACGCAGAAGTCTTTTGATGAAACTGGTGCGTCTCAATGCACTCTCCACTCAAGATGTTTCTAACAGGGCCTCAGAAGACCCAACAGAAGCGAAACAACTTCGTCCGCATCGATCCATCTCCACCTCCTTCGCCCTCCACCTCCTCCTTCTTCTCCCTCCTCCTCCTCCTCTTCGCCTCCCTCCTCCTCCTCCTCCTCCTCCTCCTCCTCCTCCTCTTCATCCCGCCCTCCTCGTCGGCCTCGTCCTCCTCGATCCACCTCCTCCTCCTCCTCCTTCTCCTCCTCCTCCTGCTCCTCCTCCACCTCCTCCTCCTCCTTCTCCTCCTCCTCCTCATCGTCATCCTCCTCCTTCCCCTCTTCCTCATCATCGCCTGCCTCCTCCTCCTTTTCCCCCTTCTCCTCCGCCCCCTCCTTCTCTTCCTTGTCCCGATCTCCTCGTCGGCCTCGTCCTTCTCGTTCCTCCTCCTCCTCCTCCTCCTCCTCCTCCTCCTCCTCCTCTTCCTCCTCCTCCTCCTGCTCGTCGGCCTCGTCCTCCTCCTCGACCCCGTCCTCCTCGATCCACCTCCTCCTCCTCTTCCTTTTTCGTCCCTCTTCCATCTAAATAACTTCTCCCTGTTGCACACCTAGACGTGTCGGTAGGGCGGGCTGGGTGTGTTGCCTGAGACTTATTCACCACTTATGACACTGGAGCTTGGAGTTTGCAAGAGCTTCACGGACGGAGTGAGGGCCGTTGTCAACGTGTAGCTTACAGCCGCGCGCGTTCGCCTTACAAGTTTGCCAGACTGTCACGAACGGAGGGCGGGCCGCTTTCAAAATGCTGCTCTCGCAACAACGCCGCGCACGTTCGCCTCAAAAGTTCGCGGGGCGTTCACGGATGGGGGGCGGGTCGTTTTCAAATTGTGGCTCTCGCAGTAGCACGGCACGCGTTCGCCCCAACAGCTTGCAGTAGTTTCACGGATGGTCGGCGGGTTGCTTTCAACATGTGGCTCCTCTTAACGCCGCGCACATTAACCCCAACGGTCTGCAGGACTTTCGCGGATGGGGGGCTGATCGTTTGCAACATGTGGCTCGTCTGAGCGCCGCCCACATTCGCCGCAAATATGCGCAATAGTTTCACACATGGAGGGTGGATGGTTTTCAAAGTGTGGCTGTAACCGTAGGGCCACGCACATTCGTTTCAAACATTTGCAGGACTTTTGCGGATGGGGGACGCGTCGTTTGCAACATGTGGCTCTCGCCTGAGCACCGCGCACGTTCGTCTCAACAACTTGCAAGACTTTCATGGGTGGAGGGTGGATGGTTTTCGAAAAGTGGCTGTGTCCAGCGCCGCGCACATTCGTTTCAAAAGTTTGCTGGATTTTCTCGGATGGAGGGCGATTCCTTTTCGAAATGTGGCTCTCGCCTTGGCGCCGCGCACACACGTCTTGAATGCTTGCAGCAAGTCCAAGGAGTCTTGTGTCTGACGTCCCAGGAATGGCTTTCTGGCGCGATTTGGGATTGCCAGGGCGCAACAATCATGGGCACGATTCAGGAACGTCAGGACGGAGCAATAACTCTCATTCGCGGCGTTGAAGGTCC